CCGCTCAAAGGCGATCTCATTCCAAATGCTAAAAAGAGTAGCAAATGACATGGTGGTCTAATAGAGGGAATGCTCACCAAAAATCCAAAGGGATTTCATGTGGGATTTATCTCTTCCTTTCCTAGTGATCTATTGTGCCATTGTGAAATCATGAAGAGGCCAAGAGTGTTATTCATCAAAATAGAAAAAGATGCACATCAAGAATGAAGGCAAAACCCAATCATTGAGGTCATTGACATTGGTCTGAAATTTATTAGTACACATGCTAAAAATTGGCAATCGACTGTTTATAGTGTAGCAACATTTATGTAGAGAACACGTCGCATAAATTATAGTTAATGAAATTACGATGCTCTCATGAACTTCCTGCAGAAATGCATGGAACGGAAACCAAATACCCTTCAACAAGAGTAACTTTTTTCCTTTATCTAATTAGGTTTTTAAGACAAGTAAAACATGAAGATATAACATCCATGAATTACATGACTGAAAATTTTGCCTAAATCAACCTTTGACTCCAATTATGCAGAGAAACAGGGCAACTGAGAACAAAACATCAAGCATAAAGTAACGACAAACAGGAATTGCATACATTAATAAGCCCATCTGATTGGCCCTTTTGAAAATCTTTCTTCCAGGACAGCAGTTTTAACCTTTTCCTCCAAGGTTTTCCCTTCAGATGGCAAGTTATGATGACTCTGCTTCTTAATGAAACCTGAGGAACTTAAACAGCACCATTCTTAATCAGAAATAAACACTTAATTAGAGAGATCTGAGGAAACAAAAAAAGAAGAAAGGAAATGTCGATGGGATTCCTAGCTAGCATACTAGTACATTTCTACTAAATAGAAACAGGTTACCTGAATCAAATACATCATGCAAACTATCTCAGTCAGAGAGTAAATATTAGTTTCAATAGAACTTTTATGACACATACAATGAATAAACAAGGACATATAACATAATAGTCATGGATCCTCGGTACCTATCTCTAATTTTGGACAACCAAGAATACCTTTTCCAAAATACGAAGTGGCATCTTTATACTTTTATTTACTTTACATGCCTTATAGCAATATATAAGGCCAAACTTTTGAAAATAAGTCAAACACAAGGGCAAGATAGTCATATTCGGGGCTGAAAGGTGATTTACATGAAAGGATGGCGCTTTTAAGCCATTTGAGAAATAGCCTTTTGCTAATTTACCCCCAAAGTAATTATAGAACACAGATGAGCTGCTCGATGCAAATGGCTTTCCATTAAGCAGAATCAATAGCCAAACGGGAGTGATGTCGAATAGTTTCTTGTTCTGGAAAAATCACGTACCTTTATACTTTCATTTGCCTATGCATGCCTCCGATTAATTAGAGTTACCCATAAACAAGCCAGAAGACTATATACCATGAATATCAAAGTGTTCCCAAGTAAGTATACTAGTGGTTATCTTTCATGAATCATTAAATGGAGATAAAATGAACCTCGATGCCTAACAGGGACTAACAGACGACAAGGAGGAAAGAAAAAGCAAAGGAGTAAAGAAAGAAGAAAACCACCATATAATTACGAAAGATCAAATATTTATTTTTTTATAAGTTACCCAGAAAAGAGTTGTTTTTCAAAATAAAATTACCTGGACAGGAGCAACTGCAATCTTCAGGGTCATAGTGAAGAACTTCAGAAATTAGGGTCCCAGGTTCCCCAGTGAGACTAGAAATAGAATTGGCATCATCTCAGAGAGATCTGCAAGCATAGATCAATTTAAGGCACAAGCTTGTGTAGCAAGTTAGAAACATGGCACACTTATTTTTTCAATTGTAGTAATATGACACACGTTATCCTTTCAATTTAGAAAAACGCGGCCAAGAAAATAGCCAGGCCCAGATACTATGTACTCCATCAATCTGTCATCAGCGCACAGCTCGAAAGGCACATTTAACAGTTGTTCCTTGCATGTTTTAACAGATTTTAAGCAGTACAACGTCAATACTCGTGTTGTTTTTAGTCTGCAAAAATGGAGATTACACTACAGTAAGGCCTTGAATCAACAAATAGCTCCAATAATAGGAAATTTGATAACCATGTTTCATGTACCTCTCAAAATTCCCTTACTTTCATTGGAAAAAAAGAAAGAAAAAAAAGGAAAAAAGAAAAAACAACAGTACCCAGATCTAGTCAAAGTAAAAAAATATAGAGCAATGATTACAGAAGTGTCGTTTTTTTTCTTCTTCTTTTTCTTAAAGTTTCAAAAAATCTCTTCAACTTGAAATCGTACCTCATCCAGCTATTCAACT